CTACTGCTGATTTGAGGAGTAATACCACAATGGTTGAACAGAAATTTGGTCAATGGGACCGCATTTACTTGCCACTGATAAATTGTAGCCTTGTGCTTACGATGGCGCCTTTCGCTGACGCCTCATTTCCCTTTCATAATCACCAACATGGCATCGACTTTTTATGGCTTGTTTTTATGTGATTTATATTGGTTTCCATTACCAAGAAACATACGAATAAGTCTGATTAATTATTCAGGCCTGAAATCCATGTTCTTTAGTCTTAGGTTCCTTATAATCACACTCCTCATTCTGACATTTAGTCTGTAATCACACTGTTATTGGAAATTTACGATTATTCCTGAACGCTACTTCTTTCTGAACAATATTATAGTGTCCAATTTGTGCTACTGATTTCGTCATCCAGGGCAGATAGTGTACATCCTCTTCTATATCATTGTGAATTTAATCCTTTCATCAATCTGGTTTATTAAATTTTCTCTTAGTGTGGCCAAAGTGCACAGTAGACATTCAGATACCACATAAGTACTTCTGATTGCAGCTGTAACGTCTAGAATTCCTCTTTTAATTTATTCCTGTATACGTGGAGAGAGAGAGAGAGTAGCTATCCAATGAGTAGTTCTAATATTTGTTCATAGATGTTGCAGCGTAATTTATAGGTAATCCAAACATTTGCTTATGGATATTACAGTTTAATGTGAAGTGAGTGCTCATTGATTAGTTTTAAAATATCACTCCTGATCTCTGTTTCCAGGATATCGTTTTTTCATTTCGAGATATGTTTGTATACACAGATTGTGCGTCAAAACTTATTGATAGTTCTGTTCCTTCCAAACGTATATATTTTCTTTTTAGAAACGTCTGGGTCGTTTCCAGAATTTCTTATGTCAGACAGCTTCATCGAAATCTGATTGTTAACACTTCCAAGTTTGGGAAACGAAATCAAATCATTTCTATGTAGTTAAAAACGTTCGTGACCAAAACAGAAGCTACACTGTCTTTGTCTTCATACTCTAGATTAAACATACATGTTTGTCTAGATGCTATTTTTACACCTATACTCAAGTTTATTATATTTATATGTACAACGTAATGGGTCATTACTTTTTAATCCTTCGGCTAAACTTACATATATAATTTTCCGGAGAAGTGCTAATATTTCCACATAGGCCTTACTTTTCCCTCTAAACAGAACTCTCTTTTGCTTATATAGCTCTGAAGACTCCTCAATAAATAGGGACTGGTTTTAGCCTATTACTTTGCCATCTTTTCAAAGATATGGCGATATTTGTAGTCGTACTTTTGACAAAAAATTAACTACTAGATTTATACGTCAATGTCTTTCAATATTGGGTTTAGACTTTTCTCGGAACAATCATATTACACTTAAGGACACTATCAATACTATTATTTATTCTTTTTTTTATTGCTAGCTATCTTTATTTACACCTTATCAGCCCTTATATTTTCTATTATTATTTTTAATAATGGAATTTATTTAGCTAATAAAGAAACCTATCTTTTTTCCCCTACTATTATATCATATAATTAATCACGACTGTACTTTCCACCATTACTTTTTATCTGATCTTACTTTATATCTTTTTCTGTTTCCAGCTTTGGTTCTCCCGGCTTCCACGCCGATCTCCTACTTTGTATTTCCAGTCTATGGCCCAGTCTCTTACCCACTTTTGCACCATTTGCTGATCAGTTTGTCGAGCTCACTCTTAGAATCCTCCTCCTCCCATCCTCTCGTCCTGTAGCCTCAACAACTGCCATCGGAAATGAAGCCCTCACAACACTTCATTCAACCGGCCTCTTGTCTGAAGACAGTGGAAGAAATTGTAGTGCCACTATCACTAACTCGATAGCTGCGGAGGTTACTGAAACGTCAATTTGTCCAGGAGGCACAGAAGCAGATAAACTCGAAACTTTGATCCGGTGTT